GTGTTTGTATCCGTCTGTCCTCCTGTGCCCTGCAGTGGACTGGTGTCCTGTCCAGGGTGTGAGCGTGTGTGTCTGTGTTTGTATCCGTCTGTCCTGCTGTGCCCTGCAGTGGACTGGTGTCCTGTCCTGGGTTTTTCCCTGACACACATGTACAGCAGGTCAAGACACTGGTGGCTATAACCCCCAGGGTCAGACCATCACACTCAGACCTGCTCGTCAATGATGACAAGGGTTCTCCGGGATCATGACTGTGCCTGCCTGTAATGTCTCAGTAGGTTAGAAACTCCTGGCCGTGAACCCCACAAACACTGAGCATCAGTTTGCTTATCAGCCTCCAACATACTGGTGACATATAAAGGTAGGTGTTGCTCTCTGTGATAACTGGGCATAGTGGTTACTTACTGTGAATTCTTTCTTATCATCAGGCTTGATGTGCAACAGACTAAGTCTCCTCACCATCTGTGTCCAATTAACTCTCTCACTAATTAGGTGCTATTCTGCTTATGCAACAGTTAAATTGACTTGATTATATCTTAAGTGTATCATTAAGAATAATCATTCATCATCAAGATCCAAAATCTGCTTTCTTTATGTTTCTAAAAACATACATTGAGTGATAGGTTTCTTTTGATTTCAGCATATTACTGTGAAGAAGAAAATGAGAAAGAAATTGTTTATTAGTGTTTCAAGATGAAATGCAGTATTTGTCACAATGTAGTTAACGTGTAATTATACAATGCAACCACCAGGAGGCATTTGCGCTAAATATCCCAAAAAGACAGAATGCTGCACTTCTACTCTGACATTTATTTTCAAGGTCATTTATTGGAGATTCGGGACATTTTTCTGAATTTATTTTAGGTAGATAAAATAGATTCAATGATCCACTATCCTCTTCAGGATCAATTTCTGATCCTACTATATCCTACAGCAAATAAAAAAGGTCATTTTTGTTACAAAAAAGCCCATAGGTTGATACACATGCTCCCTCATTTTCTTATTTTTTTATTCTGACATACTGTATTAAATATTTAAATGTGTGTTGCTACATTGTTTCCTTTGTATTAATATGTCACCATCATGAATGAACATGAAACTACTATTATATTTTAAGGTACTTCTAACACTGCATTGTTTATTATTCAAGCGGTACTTTGTGCTGGAAATAATAATGACCCCTGTGTACTATAAAAAACACACGTTGATCAATACATTGTTAAAGTTCATCCAAATTGCCTTAACTTAAAGTGGCTTCTTTGCAGGAAGGAACATTAGAGAAGAGAAAAAGTTTAGAAACCTAATTACACATACTGTACATGGGTCTTTCAACTTAATTCTTGCAAGGGAACAAACTGAATAGTGTAATTAATGCTTTCACCAGCTTGCTCGATTTAAAAACGCTCCAAATTACATGCTGCTTGGTTTGGACTTTCTAAATTTAAGCGTTTGATTAGATGGGTGATGTTCATGGCACTTGAGCAATGCGTGTGGCCCTCAGTTTGACCAAAATTAGTACATCAGACAGAGACTAGTATTTCCCCAAAGCTGACACCTGAAGAAGGCTCCACGGCCGAAACGTTGTGTTCTCTTTCTTCTTTTTTTCAGCATGGAATAAACCTATTACTTGTTCCTTTGCAGCCTATGCATGCTGACGCAGCTACCCACCTGAACTACTTTCCCCAAAGCTACAGCTAAGAAATAATCACAGACAGAAACTAAAACAGAACTATAACGCCTCATGTTAAAGTGGAAAGAGAAGAAACCCCAAACTGACAACATCAACGTTCCTTGCTAAGACCACACATTAAATAAAAATTCTTGCTGTGTTCAAACGTTATAATTTGCCTTTGAAGTGAATGGTAATACAATCAAATACCACCAGAATTTTTGTACTAAGGTAGTAGGTATAATTCGGCTTCATTAAGAAAAGTCAGTTTCTTAAAATATGGATGCAGCAGAACACTAAAGGTGATATTTCTAAAAAATTAAATAAACTTGATTCACAGTCATCAGCCACACTATGACAAAGTGAACGTTTATAGCTGTATGCTAATATTTATTTTTAAATTTATTTTTTTCATACTATATATATCAATAAAAGGAGCAAGCTCATTTGATGCAGAAGGCAAATCCTACTGCATCTGTTTGCCTTGCAGGAGTCCCAATGAAACCTGAGTCAGTGTTGTGGCAATCAGGCTTGAATTGCCTCATTTGCCATTCAAAACAGAAATGCCAGAAAACAAACACTGTCATATTTTGGGAACATTATTTTGAAATGTCACATTAAACATTTTAATATGTTTTTGTCATCCAATTAGTGTATTCAAATAAATCTTTCAGATGTTGAGTACAGAGACATGGCAAAACATTTAACGCATTTTGAGAACACTTCTAAAAATGTACAAGTATATAAATAAGAATATAAATTGAGAGCAGAATTCTGAATTTTCACCTTAAAAGCTTATTTTAAAGTCACAGTCACTTGGCATCAAGTATGTTTTTGACCTTTCTGTAACAGCTGAGTCTGCTATAGCAGATTTATGATACACAACTTGTAATATGTTGTAACGAAGGCACAGATCCCAATATAAGACCATAAGCCATTTGGCAGATCTTGTTTGATTAGTTGCTAGTAGCTTAGAGATCTAAGAATTCCATCAAACAAGGGCCTGATGTTGATTTACATATAAAACAACAACAGAACTCAAAAGATTTCTGTTTCTGCTTCTTTAAAATGTAACCCAGCGCAACAACTGACCCGGAAAATTACTGTCACATCAATGAATTTATCAGAAGAGGGTTTCCCTTCATTACTTCTGCCCTAGAAATACTAAAATTCCACAAAGCCATTACGCAGAAGTTGTTTAGACAGGAGAAAATTACATACAGTACATCTGACACTAAGTTTCTAGGTCAGGTAGTTTTTCCAGACGGAATGACTACAGGAGGAATGAGTTGCTGAATAAGAAATCTCTCAGAAAGACACTGTTGCAAGCTGAAAAAGGCAGAAGACACACCTCTTATTTACTCATCTGAAGCAATCTGTGCCTTTTAACATGTATTTTTTAATCTCCTGCTGCAAGGCAGCAGTCTAATAAAGATGCGTTCTGACCCTCAACATCTTAGAAATGTTGGCTCTTTCTTTCTATCGCAAAAATAAGACTCGCTTAGCTTACAAAGTGTAGTGAGAAAGATATGGCTTTCTGCAACATACAGACCATAGAAAAAGAAACAGGTGTTAAAGATATTATTTTAGTAGCTAACATATGGAAATTTTAAATATTTAATAAATTAATTTCAAGTATTAAATAAGTTAATTAATCATACATTGGACTGGACAAATGTACACAGTGATGTTGTAGTCACCAGAAAGAAGACTATTTACACAAGTTCCTTCAGATCTAAGAATCTTCTTTTTAATAATATGATACTTTCTGGTAAAGAAAAGTAGTATAATGCAAGATAATCACTCTCAAAACAGTGGAGTATCAAAAAGAGTAGCATAGCAGGAATGTTTCAGGGCTCATGACTCCTGGGTTGTGAGTTCAGTTCCACCATGAATGAGGTACTTTACCCGAGCTGCTCCAGTCCATCCAGCTGTAGAAATGCACACCAGCATTGCAAGGGGCAATCACTGCAATGTACAGGCAGTCCCTCCTGTCCACTCTGGCACAATGCGCAGAGGTGGGTCAGGTATGAAACTACCTACCTCCTGTAGCCTTGCCAAATGGAATCACACTATCTTACACCCCTGGAGGCAGCACGGTCTCCTCACCTGACAACGCCTTCTGTGTTTCTCAGGACAGTGGCTGCGAAGTTCTGAGTAACTCCCACCAGGCTTATGGAATCCACTTCCACTATCTGGTCATTAACCTTGATCCTTGGAGAAAAGTGGGTTAGAAAACATGGTCATTAAAGTGTTTCATTCAAATGTTAAATACTGTCAGGAAACCACATTTACAGTATATATTATTCAGAACATTAAAATCAATATAGAACTCATGAGATATGATTAGTGTATTTTAATTATAAAAAATAAGAAAGAAAAACAATTCTCTTGATGCACAAATTCAAACATAATAAAAGAAGTTACACAGGCTTTGGCTTAACAAAATATTAGGTTAATATCTGCATTTACAATATTTTTACAGTATATACTGTATGGCTATATTTTACATATTCTGTATTCTACATCTTCTAAAGGAGTTAAACATTTGGCAACACTTTTTCCTTTACTTTGTAAACCATATCGAACCAACTTCAGGGCAATCAGTACAGTATATTAAGGTTTATTTCACCACAATACTTAAGCTATAGACAAGAGGTTCCCGGACCTGGTCCTTGGTTTTCATCTTATTCAGCACAACTCCTTGCACTCCAATTATTGGCTTACTGTAACTGAAGAAGTGCAGCAGCTTTGCTGCTGATCCAAACAAACCTATAAAACCTTCAGGACTGGGAGCCTGGGAACCTCTGCTTTAGACTTAATGGAAGTCGTTAATTTCTGGTAATGTTAGCACTCAAATGTTCAATCATATATCAGATAACATTTGATAACAGAGTTTGCAATGAAAGTTTCCAAGTACAGGTTAACCCTCCATCGTGTCCAGATAAGCACACTGCAAAAAGAGGGCAGGGACACTTTGCTTTTATCCGTCTTGTTTCTCACACCACGTCATCACTGTGGTCCATCTCTTGGCATCCATGACAACACACTTGCTCTTGCTCGCTGCCATCCGAACCACCCTGCGTCCGTCTGTCTCCAGTCCCTCTGCTCCTCCTGTACCCCCCCCGACCTGACCTCTCTGCCCCCCACCTCCGGGGCCGCTCATTCCCTGCCGCACAGTGCTGGACTGCGCTGGACTGCACTACTGTCCAGCTCGGTCCCTGCCCGCCCCCTGGCGTCTCCTCAAGGCTCATCTGCTCAGGCTGCGCCTCTGATCTCTCGCACCCTGCCATGAGCTTTAACCACTGGCCGCTACTGCAATCTGCACAGTGATCAAAGAATGAACAAAAACCCTACCGGAGACCATGACGATGGTTTCTCGGTTAATCGTGTTGTTTATCGCCGGACGGACACTGTTTACACCCTGTTCTCTTTCTGCAAAGCCCCTTCTACATGCGTCTCCCTCACTGTTCTATTTTTTTTTCATTTGCATTTAGACTTTTTGTTTTCTCCTGTATTTGAATGATTTCTAATTTGTACTCAATAAGGGCATCTGCTGAGCACATCATAACAAAAGTAACAACACATCATTCCTACAGTCCATTGTTTTGGGTCCATCATCAAACCCCACCATCACTCACTTTGTGGAAGATTAAATCTAATAGAACTCATGTTGCTCCTTCTGCCAAGCAAGTTAAAGTCAGATTTGTATTTCCAATTGCTCATGCTAAACCATGTTTTTACAACTATTGAATGTACATGTACTGTATAACTGGTAAGCGTTACGACTAAATGACATTCTTTGAACATTCTTCCATTTAACTGCCATCTCTTGTGGCTGAGAGCCAGTGAAGTCAAGTCAATTAATGTTGTTTAAGTCAGTCAACATCAAGTGTTGGCAGACTAGTGCCAAAGAGACAGAGAAATCACTTTCAAAGCCTTCTTGTAAGGAAAAGAAGTAGCTTGCTCAAGATGAAGACAGGCTTTCGGTCAACAAAAGAAATTAGGGCATTTGTCTGCCTGTCAACAAACTGCTGAACCATGTATGTATTTCTGTGAACACAATACAAAGAACTAATAATGAGACACTTTTTTCAGACAAACCTCCTAAAGCAGCTACTCCTAATGAAATCCCTTAGCAACAAGGGTTCTCAGGTTTTTAAATAGGAGTTGCTATGTACTGAAATGAGGTCACAATTCTTATTTTTATGTTCAATTTGTTTATTGTTTTTTTCAGGACTGGCAAAGAATATGATCTGACATGGTACCATACACAAAAATGGACAATTGTGAACCATCATCATGGCATGACACACCTGTACCTACACAAACTGTACACATCCAACAATACAAATCTGATTTTTAAATCCCTCAAAGAAAACAATGTTAAAGTGAGGCATAACCATATTGTCATAATAGTGTAAGCAGTATGGTTTTATAGTATTTTGGAAGGATCTGCCATTTCGTACACACAGCCCTACATAGAAAGAGTGGGTAAAACATCATTGCCCTATATTTTGGGCAGAAATAGAGGTCCTGAGCAAATAGCCTACAGCTACTGCCTCTCATTATAGTACCATTCCTTTCCTGCTATCTGTTATTAATTCCAACAGTATCCTCAACTAGCTACAAATACTCAGACCTCGGTTTCACAATTAGTGGGCATCTTGTGGAATTGACCACAAACAGTATTTAAAACAGTTAATCTCACAAATGTAGTGAATCCAGTGAACATCCTGTAGCCTCTCAGTATATGACTGTGGATAATGAGTCTAAAGAAGCGAGAAATGTATTACTGAAGCAACAAAGGAACTAATTCACAGAGCCACATTTTTACTATGTTATCTATTCGCACACATCTCTGCAGTGCCCTTAAGATATTCCAAATGTTCCTTCTAGTGACAAGGCCTCTTCTTATGATGTTTTCACATTATACCACCACCACACTCTCAATCTGTAACCTTCTCCTTCTGCCCTACATAACATAACCGTCTCCACACTAATCTCACAGCCCCAGAACCATGTTCAACACTGCAACATTTCTGTAGAGACGGACCCTTCTTTTTCAAACACAGCCCAGTCTAGAGGCTTTCCTCCTGTACTTGAATCCACCAAAGATTTAAAAACACAACAAGAGGAAATTGTGTCTAGGTATTAAACACAATAGACATGACCATGGTTTCCTTAGACTTTCCTTGCAGTTTCTCCACTTCTCTCCTCACACCAGATCCTGTGGAGAATCTCTGTATCGTCCCTTCTCCCCTAGCCTGAGCCACACATTCATTCTGTGACTCTAAACCTCCGTTTTTGTCCTCGAGTTCCTTTTTACTTGCTCACGACATCCTCCTGCCCGTGGACACCGGTTATTTCTTTTACCACTACTCTCATTGGTCTGCAATCCTTTTCCGTCCTTACCCTTCTGCTCCATGTCTGTACTTCTACATTCACCCTCTCTCCCTGTCCTGTTCTTAACCAACATTTCTCTGTCTGCGGGACAGGAAACTGATCCCAGACTCCCACTAGCCCTTTACCTGCCATCTTTCTGAGCAGCTCCGCCCTCGATGACTGTTTTCACAAAGATACCCAGCTTCTCCAGGCCGGCATCGGCTCCCACTCCCATCCCGATGATACTGATTCCGAGGCCATCCTCATCTGAGCAGAAAGAACAGGGTTTAGTCCACAGGAGGAGCAGTGTTTTTGTGTGTCCCCAAAGTACAAAACCACACAGCACACACAAAGCAATTCTGCATCCCCGTGAAGACCCCAATAATAAAACAACATAAAAAAAGAAAGACAGGGCAACTGCTAAATGAGAACCTAGTGCAGGAAACTGGATTATTTATTCTGGTCCTACAGTAGGTGCAGAAAGCTGAATATTAAAAATCAGTGTGGGCAACTGTGCATTTTCTTAATATTGTTTCACCAATATGCAGTATTATGCTACACATACAGTATATATACTAATCACTTCACAAATCTTTTTTTTTAATTATATGTTTAAAAGAAAGACAAGAAAGTAAGGAGAGAGGTTTGCAGGGGTGAAATAATTAAACTGAATCATAAAGAAAAACTAAATCTTGCAGTAAACTTCCAGTAATTTGACAACTTTTGCTATGTACTGCTATAGCATAAATGTACCTATCCGTGGTTTTGCCTTTAATTTGTCTTAAAGACCCTTTTTCCTGTAAAAAATGTGAATGGCAGGCATGAGCAATCTGTATTCCTGGGCTTTGTATACCTTTTTCAAGGTCGACAGGGAAGAGGTCCAACTTCTCCACCCGTTTTTCCAGCTCGTATTCTGCTGAGGCAGCTACTGGGTCCACTTCGTCATTTCTCCTGTCGTAGTCTTCATTGGAATAGGTTTTGAACACCTGGAAGCATGAAAAACTGTCAGAATGAAAAACTGAAATTTTGTACAGGGTTATAGATCATAACCTTCTTTTATGTCTTGAACAATCATGCTGATGTGAAACAGCAGTTTTTATTTGTCTGTTACCATGTGCAGTAAGAAAGAGCTTTAACAAAATATAAAAATATTAATCACAGCAAATGATTCAAAATGTAAATGTGAAAGTGTGAATTATCCACAGTAAATGTAGTCACTGATTTGAAAAGACCTTCTTTAATCATATAGAAGATTCATATCTTAGCTCAATCTGTCAGTCCCTGCTGACTGCTGTGTTATGTGTTCATAAGAGTTTCAGTGGCTGTAGCCCAGCCCAGCCCTGTGTTTAAGCAACCTATTCTTGATTATCTCCCTTGTTTTTGCTCACACCACATGTAAAAAGACCTGTCCTTAAGGAACAAACCTTGAACTTGCATTTAACTAGAAGCCCATACAGTAAAACAAAACAAAATTACAGTGAAATGTAATTTAAACGTAAGTACTTAAGGACCTGTTGAATTACTCCTGGAAAAGTCTTTAAGTAAAAGCACACAAATATTAAGAGTTTCTGACCTTTCATTACAATAAATTCAACAACGATATCTGTTCCTTCCACTAGAAGCAAATAATGACTCAGCATGGGATTGCCTGCAACAGGGTCACCACACTGCTCATCTCTACAAAAACAAGCAGTCATTAATAAAAATGATTTCCTGCTCACTCTAGTGTGAAGAGCTGTCATCTACTGTAGTCACTGATGGCTCTTCAGACAGGCGCCTGGAACGACTGAAATGTCATCAGTAAAAAAATGTGCTGCAATGACATCCTGTCCTTGGTTTGTGCTACTGGTATGAGTAAGTGAATATAATCCACCAGCAACTGCAAACAGCGCACTTGACACAGAGAACCTTTTACATCTTGAGCACTCTCATGTGGGCGGCATGGCATAGCTTGGTCACAACTCTGGAGACTAAGATGTGATGCTGGACCGGTTTTCCTCCTGTGTAATTTCTGGTTGTGCTGTCTTTGTCTTTGTCTTTGTCTTTGTTCGATTTCTCCAGGCACTTCAGTTTCCCCCACCTGCTAAACATGTGCTGGCTATGTTAATTGTCATCTCTGTAAGCTGCCCTTTTGGGTGCCCTGCAATAGACTAGCATCTTAGGCAGAGTGTTGTCCCACCTGGCCTCATTCTTTTGGGATAGGATGCAGGTTCTCACAATCCTTTTCCAGAAATATGCTGCTTTCTGATAACAAATAAAACATAGAACAAACATGGCATTTCTCTGACATTATGGCATGATGCAGAAACTTCACGAGACCCTAATTTATATAAAAGGAGTTTGCCTTTACCAGCTGAGACTCTTACAAGGCCCCAGTGAAAGTGAAATTTACCTGCTACAAAACTAAAAGTCAAACAGTGATCTTAATGCGAGCAGATGCTTTGACAAGAGCATTAAAAAACTGACACAGCAATATGTTGTTGCTCAAAAGCAAAGACTCATGTGACTTCCTCTTTGCCAAAAAAAGACAAGTAAAGACCTCAAATGCCCCCCCTTACAGCCAGAGGATTACAGGAAGTCATGGACAAAGTCGAGTTCTCATTTCCCACAGAGGCAGCCTTCTAATCTGTCAGTCGCTCAGCCCACAGACGAGACACTGGAATGTCCCTGAGACAGAGCTACACTGGCACCACAGAAGAAGGGACCACAAATGATAAAAGCTGCCATCAGCAAACATAACTTTATTACCATTCACAGCTTAAGACGCATAATACGCCGCATACAATTCCTTACTTTGCGTCTGCCTTTTCCCAAATTCCAAAATATACAGGTTGTTATCAGAAAAGACGTGTCTGGGAATTCAGAGCACAAGAACTGTGACATATACAGGACTGAAAAACAGAAGAAGAAAGTGGCACAGACTCGCAGAGACCCACACAAATGGCATAGAACAGCTCACTCTGTCAGCACGTCATTTAAAAGGACGTATGGTACATAACACCTCACACAGTTTGTGCTAGTGTCTGTTGATATGTTACTGGATTACCGCACAGGTGTCTCATAGCCATTCTGCAGAGCCCGTTATTTACTAGGTTTCCGTTTCAAAAACCCTAAACCTTCCTTTAAATAATACAGTGAAGGAAACAAATCGAGGTGTGGCTGGGGTGTGTCAAGCAAGGAACTGTGTACTCGATTGTGCACCTTAACCTTGTTTACAGGTCTGTTGATGCACAGCTCAACAGTAGAGCCCATTAATGAGGCGGAAGGCAGCCAGTAAGCAGCTAATCCAATAGTAGCATGACAGATGATCTGCTGTGCACGGCAACAGCTTAGTGTGCAGCACACGTTCCACAACCATGTAGTTTATTGGCTCAAGGCTTAGCTTTCCACTTTGTGCAGAACTCCTCAATTTCACCCAAACAGCAGTCTAATAAGCATGACCTCCAATCACATGAATCTCTTGAAAACATTTGCAAAAGTGTTTGTCTCTCTCACACACTACAGAACATTACCACAACAAACAAATGCCACAAAGGAACAGCCTGAGCAAATGTTATGGAATATATGCTCCAGAGAACAAACAACCTTTAATAAAACAAAAGAATATTCCAAGAATATCAATAAAGAGTAATACTTGTTAATAACTGTGTACTAGTTTTTTAAGGAAAAGACACACAGTTATTTCCATAATACACAATAGTTATGCCACTAAGGCTGTTGGCTGTAACCAAAATCAACACTGCACTGAATAATTAAATTTCCTTATGAAAAAAGTATTTTTTTTTCCTTTTTAGCTGAACAAATGGCATAATGAACTTCTGTCTGAATGTGTCATACGAGGGGGCTTTGTTTTGCTTAGCAACTGCTGAGTGTCTTTCTAGAGGTTTAAAAAAAGAAAGAAAAATAAATATTACAGTTCATTCTCTGAAGGTTGAGTTAGATGGTCTTTAAAGATCTCTACAGCACTTAAAGAATAAATCCCACAGGAAAACCTATAGATTAAGACAGCAATATTGTGCTACTGTCTGTTTTAGCTTATGCAATTCACATTTTTCCCAGGACTTTCTCTAGCTCTGTGCTGTGACATTTTAAATTCCTTCACAGCTTGCTAAGAAAGTTACTTAGCATTTACCAGCTTTTTCTTCCAGTTTTTATACGCAACATTTTTTACACTGAATATCTTTGCAATTACTACCACCACCTTCACAATTCTTTAAAATCCTGATACAGCTACAAAACACCACAGAAACTTGTCCGTGTAAGCCTAAACAACACTTAATTTGGTGGAAAATATAGGGACAATTCATTAGCTTCCAGTATCCAGAAATCACATACAACATAGAATCTCCTTGAGGGTCATTCTAGTACTTTACTGATCTTTTATACTGTAGTTCAATCAGTGTGAACAATTGCACCATCATCTTCACTGAAGAGATTAGGTCGACACCTTGGACAAGAGGGTAAAGCACTTGTTTTTGTAGATGTTTCTATGAAATTCAGAACTATTAAATATAAACATCAGAGAACTATCAGCACTATCAGAGTAGCTGCTTTACAGAGCTAAAAAAATACTAAAACACAAAGCCACTGATCAAAGCCAGTTACTTTATTAACTTTCTACTGTACATCAACCTCAGTAGCAGGAATTTCAAAGCATCATTATGAATATTTTCATATCTAACCCAGATTTCAGGATCTCAGGAGAATGTCTGATCTCGATTTGAGTTTGTTTTACTCAACTAGGGTAAAACCCAACAAAACACATGCACACATATACTGGAAGAAAAAGCTCTGAAGAAAATAAAAAAAATCACTGAAGATGAGTACTAATGAAAAAAGTGTACACAAGAGATTCTAAGCAACAAGACAATTTCTATTGAATCGTTCTGTACAAACTGTTTAGGGTATTCTTCGTTATTATGTTGCCGTCCAAATTCTTAATAGTACTGTATAAGGTGAGTTGTGTAAAACATTGTCCAACCTAGAATCTAGACTAGATTCTATTGTATTTTAAAGAATTTATAAAAAAAAACATCAAAGTAACAGGTTTAAACTTATTTTATACAGTTCATTCTGCAAGCACGTGAGTGGTTATACAGTTATACTATCCAGGTGGCACATTTTCACTGCTCATACTTTGAAGTAGGTGTGTATCAGATAGTTCAGTCGCATATTGAGGTTCATACTAACATTCCCTCACAAAAAGTAGTGATAATACTAGCTATGATATTAATCTGTTCAGCACTGTTTGAGCTATGCCTATTAAAACAGGAAACCAAGATTCATGACTGAAAGCCTTAGAAGACAAGATCAGACAATGAGCTGCATTAGACATGTTGCTCAACGCTGCTGTACGTACATGAGGAGGTTAAGAAGAACTTGCACTTTTATCTAAATGGTTCCCAAAGTGCTTCACATATAGTTTGGAACTCACCTCATTTACCGCTGAAGTACAGCCCCTACTTGGCACAGTCGCCATTGTGCACCTGCAGCCCAACTACAACACTCAGGTGGAGAAAAGGTAAAGCATTTCACAAACTGAATTAAGAGAGAAAGTTAGGGAGCTCATAAGAGCACACCTGCTCTTACGAACAGTGCCATGAGATCCTTACTGACCTACTCATCTCATTTGAAGGACAACACCTCCTACAGCACAGTATCCCCTATCATTATACTGGTGCAGTGGTTTGGAAATGTTTGTTCAGAGGCAAGAGCGCCACCTGCTGGTCTACTAACACCACTTAAAGCTGCAACCCGTTTTTCTTCAGAGGTCTCCTATCTCTGGTATAGTACTTATGCAGATACTAGACATCCTTGAGCAGCTGATGTGCTCTGTGAAAATCAGGATTTCTTCTGCCACAGGTTATTTTTCAATTCCACAATTACAATTGCAATAATGTCAAAACAGGTGCAATTCGCTTTCAGAAAGTTCAAAACCATGTCAAAGGTCAATTTCAATGGAAGCCCTATTGCACTAGTCTATCTG